GAGAGTCGAAATTGTCGAGTAGTAGTACCGAGGGTTCTTCGAGCCGAGGTCTCAGTAAGTGCCGCAAATAAAACGCCCAGATCCTGGCATCCATCCAAGCACTTTCTTGAACAGCACAGTAATGGCCGATCGGATACGTGTCCAACTCGTCGGATTCAATGCGGCCGCCAGGTTCCCCTCGCACGATGAAAAGGATGGGAAGCTTGTCGCCATTAGCTCGCACAGAGAGGACCACCGTCATCCGGTAAGAGTGCTTCTCACCACCTGATATCTTCGACGAGCCACCACGAACGGACCAAATGGCATGGGGAGGCATGTCGTAAGTCATGCCCGTCTCATCGACGTTGATTATGAGACTTGGATCGAAGCCGCTGAACGCAACGTTGAAGTCTTGGGCGAACTCCTGCCGAACCTTCTCCAACTGTTCTTGATCTGCATGGACTTCGCTGGCTTCTGGCATGTGAATCCACGACGAGCACATAACTGTTGGAGAAGTTTCAGCAGGGACTTGTATCCACTGAGGCGGTTTGAAAGGTACTTCTCGAGCCACGACTTGTGGTTGCGCTTCAGGTAGTTGACGACGTGTGTGCATGTCAGGGCAAGCTCAACATTGCGTCGCTTGTGCATGAAGGCCTCGAGTCCGTCAGCGTTTGGGATCATAACGGGGCGAGCGGCACCATGAAGGTGAAAGCGTTTCATTGTGCCCTCAAAGTGGAGAATCTCGTTGCTCTGCTTCTTCCACCGAGCAAGGTTGCTCTTTTGGATGCCTGTGTCGACTGTAATGTCCCGAATGGATGCTGCTTGCATCTTAACGATCATTTCACGTTTCTTGGCGTGCTATATCGCCTTCTTGGCATTTTTTGGGGGCTAATCTTCTTGCTTGATACAGTCTCCATTAATCGGAAACGACACCAAGCACAGCACTGTCATCCCCCGCAAATTTAAAATATTTTCCCGCCTTAGCAAGTTTCTTCCAATGGTGTTGTGATTTTTGTGCATTGACTTCTCATTGGCGGGATATTTATGTGTATTACGAATACTTCGGTGCCCCTTCAATTCCGTCGCCGACTGTAGAATCAATCCTAAACTGCCCGGTGAAGCCCATATACTAGCAAAAATCGAACTTCGACGGAAATTTTCTGCTGGGTACTTCAGTCACTATACAATGAATATCCTAGTTAGTGCAAACGTTAATGAAGAGAGATATTTATATTATGATATTCACTCACCCTGCATTGCCTTTTGACTTAAACAAACTATTGCAACTTTAATTGTCGAGAAATCAAAATACCTTCAAGTTTGTCTCATGGAATTTTAAAATTTTGGACATATATATGTGTCCGAACCTGTGTCCGAATGATTTTCATGTCCGAACGTGATGGTATGGGACGACGCTGACTCGCGAACCCGAGATCAAGTTATAGGTAATGACCGCGAGGGACGACGAAGTGCCCGTGACGCCAAGGATGCTGCGCATCATGGTGCTAGAGACCGCGATCGATACCGGCTTGCATGAACACGAGTTTCCAGCTAGCTGGTATTGAATGTACGGATCAAAGAAACTGAAAGATTTGTCTCATCACTGCCGATTCGTCTCGGACAAAAACGCCCAAAGATGACCATGTTGCTTCGCGTGGCTTCGCACCAGCAGTAAAATATTGCAAGCAAGAACACACAATCGATGTCGTGTACAATGCGGGTGGCATCGGTGTGAATTACGAATCCCTTCCCCTAAAGATCGAAGAACGCTCCAAGTACAATTTGGGTGATGCGTGGAGGAAGATGTAAGATATTGCCGCTACGATATTGCACTTCGACTTCACGGGATCAAAGCATCCTCACCTCGGTGTTCTGATGATACTTCCTTCGAAGATCAAGGCTGCAGCTCTCGACAACATAGCGCGTTGGATCGGGTGGATTGAGCAAGAAAATGTGACAGCATGTTGAACCACTTCAAGCCATAACGAACTGTCTAATTTACGGTTATCACGCGGCTTGCTGGAATTCTAACCTCTCGGTGGCGTCCCTCAAGTACCATATCACCGAGAGACTAATCCATCCATCCATCAACTAAATTTTGTTTCTATGGCATGACTTTTCGGTACACTTCACGAAGTCATGAACTGCGCCGTTCAAGCGAATGTCATCATTATGAGCACTACACAAGAGTTTGCCTGGATCTGGGGTACCTGCAAATGTCGGGTGAATTCAGCCGATGAAAGTGTGTTGGCGAAATGTTTAGCTAGACATGATGTCCAGTGCGAGGTTTTTGGAATGATTTGCCAGTACAAATTACTTCTTCTGTTCTGGAATAACTGAGTGAATACTTTTCATAATCGAAACTCACAGTCATCCAAAGGCAACGAAGTATATTCCCAAATAGGCTCGAACGACAGCCGATGAACATGACTATCTGATGGTATTTTCAGGTCAATAATTTTATTGGCTGTTTGGCAATGCTTTAAAGAATTCTTATGGACTATTTAAAACTCATAAACACCGCAGCTCATTCATTTCGTGTCCATTTTCGTTTGCACTCAAAATCCGCACTAAAGACTAGTCTCTTTGCGTATATATTGCTAGAAATTTCCCATAAATTTCTCTAAACCATTCTACGGTGGTGCATTCTTGTCAAAATTCAAAGTTGGTCGTGAACTCATCGACGACCGTGGGTCGTCATGAAAGGCGAACGCGTTGCGAATGACGACATGAAACACCATACAGCGGAATTCAATAGCAGCCAGCAGTCAGAACCGCTCAAATCAGCAAATGTGGAACACACCACGCTTGAAGCTTGAACACTGTAAACTTAGTACTATATGTGTATCAATCATATCATGTGATATTTCGTCGTGCGTACAATGTTGAAAAAAATTACAGGTCAAACTCAAAAACGTTTTACATACAATTATCTTCATGTACTTACCTCTTAAAGTCGTCAATCATTTGTTCCGGAACAGTGGAAGTATAGACTGTGGCATTTGTCGCCAACGACGAGATGCCTGCTGAAATGCTCGCAGGTTGCGCCATCGACGACCCATTGGCCCAGCTAACGACATCTTGAGAAATTGATGATCCGAATAATTAGCTTGTTTGTACTACCTCTGTGTCGTATTACTTGGGACATTTGGAAAAAGCACTTTCGCCGAATTACTGTGGACATTTCTCATGTGATTGGCTCATGTGTACATACAACGATATTATTGGCTATAAATCTCTTTGCTACACTAGACAACAAGAGACTCAGGGCAGGAAACGTTCGCCATCAGCACACCAGCGCGGGTGAGAGCAGCCTTCTTGAGATGAGGTAAGCGAAAGTTGTTCTCCCCGTGGTGCTGCAGTACTAGCTGCATTACTGCTTGCAAAGCAAGGAACACATTCTCAATCTTCTCGATGTCTAGCGAATCGAACGCTTGCAAAGTAGCTTGAATGATGTCATCAACCGATTGACAAAATGTCTTGAGCTGCATTGCCTGAGTAGATGCAAAGATGCCCAGATCAAGGACATTTAAGTCCGGGCTATTAAGCGGCTGGCGGCGCACACGGAAAACCCATCCGTCGGTTGACACTGAGGCAAGTACTTCGTCCGTAATTGCAGCATGTGGAGTCGCATTGTCATGTTGTAGGAAAACGCACTTGGTCAGGCTCGGGAACTTCAGCTTTATGGCAGGTATGACCTTTGAGATGACGTAGTCACGATTGACAGCAGCATCAACGTTGACAAGCGTTGTGACAATAGTTCCAGCGGCACGATTCCGGGACGAACGAGCGGCAGGTTGCCGCTTGACAATGGGCCACATCCCAATTTTCCCATCGAAAAAACGATCGTCGTCATGCAAGCCGCAAGGGACGTCCGACCGCGGCAAGAAACATTACTTTTGCGATAAATCGCTTACTTTTGCACGAACGACGACCAACTTGCTCGCCCTTTGTCAGGTAAACTCTCCGAACGTCCTTGTATGCATTGAACCACTTCTCATCGAGGTGAATGGCATCCCACATGTCATCAAATTCGTAGGATGGGGGGTCGACGCAAAATTCAAGGCGTCCTTTTTCGTTGCCGCCTGTGAGTAAAGGCTTCAATCGTGACGAGTGTCGGCTGATCGTTCCATTAGAGAGGTGTCGGCGAACTATGCTGGGCGATAGGTCGGTCCCATGAGCGATATCCCGGATTGTTGATCGTTGGTGCTGTGGTAGTGATGAACCATTGCGGATATTTCTTCTGGGGAGTAGTCGGGCTTACGTCACACACGGCCTGCCTTTAATGTTGGCATGTAGGAGTCGCGGTGATAGGTATCCCAAATCCTTGACACGGTCTTTCGATTGAGGTTGAATAGTGCTGTTGTTGAGGCAAGAGCTCCATGAGCTAATTTGCCTGACTTTGTATGTTGTTGTAGGTTCATGACGACTTCTATCTTCATGGCATGAGTGAGCTCGCGGTTTGTGCGTCGATTGTCCATCGGGCAACGAAAATTTTTCGCTCAGGCACCTTAATATTTTAAAATTATGCTTTGATATTTGCATTTTTATAATGAGGCCATTTTTTCGAAGTCAATTTCGGGCGCCAAAATTTGGTTTTCCCGCCCTGCCGTCAATTGACAAACCCTGTAGTTTTTTATCCTCTTTCGAACACGATATGGCACATCGATTTTGGCAAAGAGATGAAGTTTTGGGGTCACTTCAAAGTCAAATGTCCCAAGTAATTCGACACAGAGGTAGTATTGAATTTTGCCGCACAAATCATATTGAAAGTTTATTCCTCTCTCGTCATAATCGACATTATACTCACTGTATACGTTCGAAATTGGAAAATTGACACTTTTTACTTTAGTACGGCTAGAAGTAAAACAAGCAGTTCCAACGACCATACCACGTTGTTGTGATATATCTCCTGCCGAGATGGACAATGCTACATGACATAACTGTGCGTCGTGAGACAAACAAGTGTTGTAACTGTGAATATTTGGAGGTTTTTTGCATCAAGATCACCCATGATGAGTGCGTAAAAAATCGTGGATGATGATAGTACCCGGCCAAATTTGACAAGAGTACATTCATTGATTAGCCACCAGAGGTAGAATATATGCGGTTTTTTAGTCTTGACCAGGACGGGATTTCACATTACACCAATTGAAATGACCAGTACTGAAATCCCACCTTCCAACAGTGCAAATTATGCATAAAAACAGTCAATCATATTCTACAGGTACTGTTTAAACAATAGATGATGCCTACGATCAATTAATTCGAAAATCTTAAGAATTCCAGCATAGAACTCATGCTTGTCAACCAATGTCATCCGCTTCATATTGGAAATGACACTTATGTTTGTTGCATGAAAATATTACAAAAACGATCCCCATCATTTGGTAATAAGTACTGTACTTCAGGAGGATAAGTTTTCAACGGTTTTCACGTTAGACCCGTTTCAATTTGTGGGAGATCAGGACCTCTCATTTTGCAAGGTCCTGACGGTCTGAGGATCCTCCGCGTCATTTGGCGTGACGACTAGGGCAAGCCAGCGAACAGTTAGCTGACCTCGTCGAAGTATTTCGTCGTGTGTGAGGGGCGAAAGATGAGCCCTCCACGCATCGTGAACCAGGTACATCAGCCAATCAAAGAGCTTCAATGACATGTCCTTGTATTTGGCCAATCATCGCGTTTATCACGGGTCATTTCATTCGAGAATTCTTATTTAGCCAATCATGGGCTAAGATGCTATTTTGCATAAGATTGGGAAGTTAGTACGATCTGATGCGGGTGCACCTTCAAGTATGCGTAGCAACACTTGCGAAATTGAGTCGGGTGGATAGTACGCCCCCTTGACTGGAGGAGTACCCTGTCGACCGTGCGATATCGCGAAGACGCAAGCGAGGTGCGGCGATTCCCCCCACAACGCACTGGCGGTGTACAGTAGTCGTATTCCGTGGGTGGTTTACTTGCTTCGAGGGATAAACGAGAGGGCCATGCCTAGAGCAGGTGCCCCCTGACGTTTTTGCGCACGCTCCTAGCCGCCGAACGTTGAAAAGACGGCGCATGTTCTTGTTGGGCGCCCGAAGGCATCGAAATATCCTTCGTCGAGGTCTCTTTCGATGGCGCAGGATCGTCTGGCGAAAGAGGTGGGATGGGTCGACAAGCCCATTTCACACAATGATATAGGTATGCAGGAAGATGATATGGTACTACTGGCTCCGCCGCCCCCTTCAGCAACCAACCACCAAGGCAAAAGGAGAGGGGCCTGGCGCGGAGGCGCACCGACCAAAACGTTAGTCGTTCTGGCGACTCGAGATGCACGAAAATGGGGAGTCTGGTTTCAGCGCTGCGCTGCCACCGACGTGCCGGCCATGCTACCATAGGCCTTCACTATCCATTTACCCCTGGCCTACACCATGGTGTCCATCACGAAAACTATCGTTGGTTTAGCCTTGCTTGCTGCAGCGCACGCTGCAGATCCATCGACAACAGTC